ATTACTCCGAGTATTTCAATTGCACCTGTGATACATCATCTGAAATTGCCCCGAAATTCTTGGATCTGCTGGGTTTTTTTTCATTCATTTTTTTTATCTTTGCGTTTCAGTTTGTAAAGTTTCTGTTAACCTGCCTAAGCTTGCTGATTCTATTCTTTCTTCAGCCATGTCCAGTCTACTAATGAGCCCATGAGGGGCATGCTTCATTTAGGTTACAGTGTTTTTGATTCATAGCATTTACTTTTGATTCTTCTCTAAGAATTTGCATTTCTCTGCTTATATTACCCATGTGTTCTTGTATGTTTTGTACTTTATTCATCAAAGGCTTTAAAATATTAATCATAGTTATTTAAGACATTTGTAACATCTTTGTCATATTTGGTTCCGATGGTTTGTCTCTTAAGAGTGTTTTTCTTAGCATGCCTAGTAATTTTCTGTTGCAAGCTGGACATGATTTATCAGGTAATAGGACCTGAAGTAAACAGACCTTTATTGGGAGGTGTTATGTTAATCTGGCTAAGAGTTGGACTATATTTAATGTCTGCTAGAGTTGTAGGTGCCAGAGGCCTCAAAATTCTGTGTCCTTGTTTTTGTCTCCCCTGTTGACTTCTGGCTTAAGTACTCCTCCTCAGAGAGAGTCTACGCCTTACAGCTGTAACCCACTGGTATTGTACTGGAGTCCTGTTGGTGTAGTGGTAAAATATGGAGAAGAGGAAGCATATCTACTATAGCAGCATAATCTAGCGTAATCTTATGATTAAATTTCAGTCTTTTAGTGGGTCTGTGTTCTTGGTCTATTATGACCTTAACAAGTGTTTCTTATTTTCCAACCCATCCCATCTTAGGTGAGACCGAAAGGCTATAGAGGGCAGGAGTGGGAGAACTGCTCTTCTCCCAGGTGGAATAAGGCTCTGGTAAAGTCTTTACCCCTGAAGAGTATGCCTTGGTATAGGCAATGCTCTGGGCTTACTTCATACAGGTTACCCTTCCTCTTCCAGGCCAGAGCCACCAGGGTTCCTTCTTGACTCTTCACTGTGAGAATCTAGTGAGTTGCCTAGAAGTAAAGTCCATGAAAGTATGGGGACTTCCTAAGACTGTGGCTCCCAGTTTTTCACTCTCAAGCTAGTCCACACTCAGCTTCAAGCAATTCATCAAAATTATCATTTAGGTCTTCCTACCAGTTACTTTATGGTTCCTATGGCTTCTGCTCCAGGTAAGTAGAACTTGGCTGTGACTCTCTGGATTTGCCTGTCTCTCCATATTTTGGGGTGGCAGTTTGCCCTGCCTCCTCAATTCTCTGAAGGTTCATAGAAAGTCCCACTAATGTCTTTAATAGTATGATGATTTTTTTTTTGTAATTTATACATGTAGTTGTTACAATGAGAATAATGATCAGCCAATTATCTACTTACTACATGCTACCTAGCAGAGAAGACCCCCACCTCTTTCAATTGCCCTTAAATAAGCTTTTATATTCTAGTACTCTACTAGAGTTAAGTGCTATAGAAAATGATTTAAAAAATTATTTTCCCAATTCTGCCAAGAATGCTATATTGCTAGTACCATTCTAGATGCACAGGGGTTAAATTATTACACAAAATGAATGGCTTAGCCACTCTACCCCTTAATATTTTAATGTGTATTTTATAGAATAAGGATATTTCTTACATATTGTAAAACAGTTATCACATTCAAGAAATTCTTCATTAGTAAAATATTTTTATATAATCTACCATCAATAGTCCAGTTTTCTCAATTGTCCCAATAATTTTTTTCCCTCCAAAAGAATTCTGATTTAGATCATATATTAATTAGTTATCATATATCTTTTGTCTCTCTATCTTTAACAGTTCCTCAGCCTTTCTTGACTTTCATAACATTGTTTTTAAAGAATACAGCCCAGTTGCCATTTTTTGATAATTATCTTTCTGATTTTGGCTTTGTCTGATGTTTCCTCATGATTAAATTCAAGTTATGTATCCCTAGCCAGAACTACAAAGTGATACTGTATCCTTCTCACAGGCTACATTAGTTCTGATTACTCAGGCAAGGTTATTGTCTGGATCTCTACCATATATTTAAGACCATACAAATATCCTGTTCTCATCAAAATTATAAATACTGACCCCAGATTTTTCACACATTGATGATTCTTGCCCAATCCATCTTTACTATGATTATTACAATGACTTTCTAATTTCACTGCTCATTCCACATTTATTAATCAGCATTCTATTGTATGAAAAAGTCTACCCTTTCTCTTTTTCCTTCTCTCTCTCATTCTCTCATTAGCATGGACTAATGACTTCCTATGTTTTCAATGCTTTATTACTGTCCTTAGTTATTTCAATGCTCAAATAGCCCCAAATTTGATCAGTGGGGCCTCTTCAAACTAGCTCCTTTTGATATGTCCTCATTTTTCTTTCTTTTTTTTGAACACCTCCTTTCTTTCTTTTTTTTTGAACACCTCCTTTCTTTCTGGTAACATTAAGATGTTCCAGGCTCATCTTATCCCTTCTTTTCTCCAGCCCCAGAGATCAGCCATTTCTCCACCAAAGATCTCTGGTTCTTTTCTGTAGTGCCAGACGTACTCACAGCTACTAGGAAAAGTGTGAATCTAGACCTGTCATATCCAATTTGGTAGCCATTTCCCACTTGTGGCTATTTAAATTAAAATTAATAAAAATAAAATAAATTAAAATTCAGTTCCTCAGTTGCACTAGCTACATTTCATGTGCTTGATAATTATATGTATTTAATAGTTACCATATTAGGCAGCACAGATATTTATAGAACATTCCTATCATTACAGAAAGTTCTATTGGACATTACTGTTCTAGACTTTTTCACAGGACAAATTTAGGAAACACACACATACACAGAGGCTCATAAATTCCCACTTTCCATTGTCTTTTAAATATCTTCCTATGTTCCACTATATTAATTCTTTCACACATTAAACATTTATTAAGCACAAACTATTAGACACTTACTGTTCAAGGCCCTGTAGATTCAGAAATATACATCCCTGTTCTCTAAAACCTTACAATGTAATGAGAAGACAGAAATATAAACGATTATAAAATAATGTATTGTTATTATAATAGGATGCTATATCAATATATACCCTATAGTGGGGATGTCAAGGAAGGGTTCCTGAGAGAAATGACATTTATTAAGCTTATAAAAGTAAACAACTGTTATCCTGGCAATTTAAAGATAATTGGGGGTGGAAGCATTTGCTATTCTCCATCATTTTTTTTTTCAATCTTTGTTCCAATTATTCAGTTAAAATGCTTTATCTCCCCCATGTCCTTTCAAAATTCTGTTTATCTTTCAAATCCCATCTATTATAATACATTTCGTAATATCTCTAACCAGACAAGACAACCCAAAAATATATTGTCTTTACTGATTTCAAGCACATAAAAGATTTGGTTTACTTTTATTGTTATTAATATAATGGGTAAGAACATGGACTTTGGAATTAGACTTATTACTTACTTGCTGTATGACTTTGAGCAAGCTACTTAATCTCTCTAAACCTCAATTTCAGCATCTAAAGGTGTAATTAATAATACCTCATAGTTATTAGTTTAAAGTTAAATAAAATAATGTACTGAAAATGCTTAGACTGTGACTGGAATATGAAAAATTATATGGTGTACTAGTAATAATCTTACACTTGTTTCTTCATTTTCTACAAGTTTTAAATTTGTTCACACCTTTCTTGGCCAATTTTTACATTATGAAGGCATATATATACATATGAATATGTATATATATTTATATTTTAGTAACATCTAGCAAACTCCCTAAATTTTTCAAGCAGATTCCTTCCAGTCAGTATATTATTGCATATTTATATGTAAAATATTTTACATAGACAATTTTATTTATAACTATGAAATTATAAAATCAATTTAAAATATTATTTATTGCTTGTGGCAACTTTAAATAAAAATAATTAAGTATGACTTCATATATAAAAACTTTAAATGAAAATATTTTCCCATTGGGTTGATTATGTGAAATTTCTAAAAATTATGAAATGATACTTAATTACAAAAAATATTTCACATATTTCACATATTATTATTTCACATAATAATATGTGAACTACGAAATGGTAAAAATCAATCTATTAATAAAAACTAATTTGTCAGAAATCCACACTCCTATTTATAATTGGATTCTATAAAATCATACTTAAAATTGGTTTAAAATTGAAACAAAGCATCTTGATTTTTATAAAAATATATTTTAAATTACTTAATGTAGTAATAATCAGAAGTAATACTAAATGACAGTATCAAGAATTTTTCCTTGTCATATTATTTAAAAATATAATAGGAAAAAAGCATGTCATACAACAAGAACTAGAGATAACTTATTTTGTCCTTCATCATAGTTTGATATGCATTCAAAGATGTATGCCTAACATTTTGCTAACAAATGAAAAATATGCTTTTCCAAATCAATGCATTTAGTGAAGTTTATTTAATTTGTAAAATGTGTAAGCATTGACATCTTAAATTGCATTGCTTATATTCTAGAAAAAGGAAATGGAACACTCACCAGGTTTAAAAAATACCAAATCTAAAAAGGAAAGCAATGTCATTTCTTCCAAAATAACTGCAGCTGTGCAGATATTTTCTTTACTAAGCAAAAAACAAATGAGGTAAAGTTATGTTTTCCTTATTATTACTCTTACCAGTAAAATTTTAAAAATCACCTTGATATGTTATTTTCCTTTAAATTAGTTTAAGCATAATAGTGGATTAAAAAATTGGAGATAGGAGAAATTTCAGAATACACTGCTACGTTTAAAAATTTATTAAATCCTATTAATATACTGTCAATACCTATCAGTCATTTATAAACTATACATTTAAAACTTTCTAGATGTAATTGTTCTGAATAATGGTGTACATTCCATATCTTTATGAAATATATAGTCAGTAAAACCTTTGTTCATGTTTTCCCAAAGGCAACCTTACCTTTGGAGTCCAATAAAAAGTAGGGCTCAATCTGTAGAGTTTTCGTTTGTGGAAACTCTGAAGTGGCCTTGTTCGAGCCGCTGTACTCATGATAGTCAAGGATGGAGATTTCAATCTTGTCCTGTCTTTTCTCCTTTTCTTACTGTGCTTCTGGTTAAGTAACCAGCTACCGGAGGAAGAGAGCTCATCTAAATTCTCTGATGCACTGAAATGCCATGAAATAATTGGGGAGTGGAAGGAATAAAACAAAACAAACAAACAAAAAAAGACAAAGAAAACTAAATGTAAATTGTCTTGATCTATTATGATAGAAGAATATTAATTTTAGCTAACTTTGTGGTAACAGTTGGTGAAAGAATCAATCTTAATGAGGAATTACATATTCAAGTTGTGAAAACAGTTTCTACTTCTATTTTCTCCTGCAAAACAAATATCCCATTGGTTAGAAATGCTCATGAGTTCACTAGTACAATGTAAATGTTCATTGTAAATCCATAATTTGTGAATATTACACAGTGTTGCAAATATTTACATCAAATTATTTTTGTATGTGGTGAGATTTCATAGGAGTGTAGATTTAAAAAGGGCTGGAGTCTTATCACTACATCATTTTTAGCTGCTCTTAAATAAGCACTACATAACATTGCAGTGGATTCTGAAACAAAAATGCAGTCCTGCTATATTGAGGAATTTTTTAACTTCTAATGATATAGAAGTCACAATGATAAACAGATCACACAAACAACATGTGAAAAAAGCATATTAACTTTATAATCAGTCTTAAACATTATATTTAAATGTCAAAACATCAGAACATCAGGAGGAAGTTAATGCTCATGGCTGCATAAATTTAACTTTCTTTATACCAGTTTATTATATACAAAATAATTAAGCTTCTTAGGCACTATAACATACCAATTTCAACCTTATTTACATAGACAGAAGCTAGTCAATGTAGTATTCTAAAATCAACAAGTTAATCTCCTATATGTGATATAAAAATTCTAATCAACATAAGTTCTAAATGTGCTATCTGTTTCAAGTAGAATCAGCATTTAATAGTAAACATAAGACTGCTTTTTATAGCACTATCATTGGTTTTAAATCATATTTATTTATGGCTGCTATAAAATATTCTGTTTGCTTGTGGACAAAACAAGTAATTCAAGAATGTTTTACACAGTAATAAGAAACCAAAACTAAAGGTACCTGAATGACTTATGTCGCCAAAATGAAAGAGAATAATTAAATATGAATTCAGTGACTACCATATATATTCAACAAATACATGACTGAGTATATACTATTGGCCAGACCAATATAGGGAAAAGAGCTGATGATAACTATTTCACTGTAAAAATATTAACTTTAGTTGCAGAGAACTTTAGTCAAGAATGTTTTGTCTCAGTTAATAAACGTTCTACATATCTTCTATCTGAGAAAGGTTTAATACTACTCTCAAATTAACAGATCCAATTCATATCCTGATACTACTTTCTGTGACATATCATATGTATTACTACAGAAAACTAAGTGCATTGGTGCTAAGTAACAGTTTGCTCTTGAGAAACCATCCATGGAGCTGGGCTATCATGTCAAAGGTGAGCAGAAGGCATAGATGATAGTGAATATGAAGTTAGGCACTGAACAGGTCGGGTAGCTGGCACCGAAGCGAGTCAAGGTCAGGAAGAAGACAGGTGTCAGTAAGTAGTTGGTATCAAAGGTGATGAAGTCAGAGAGCTAGAATCCAGGAATGTAGGAGTAAATTTAGCACTAAGATTCTTCATCCAGCAACTTAGAAATAACTTTAGGCAGATTACATTGCTCTTTAAAAGTAAGGTTTTGCTTGGGTAGTGTCTAGGGAAAATGAAGAGCTCTCATTCTAACAGCCTGAGGCACAGATGACTAACTTCTATTTACAACTCTTTAATTGTTAATGAGCTCTTAATTACCCCCTCCTCTTAGGAGGCTTAGTCCTAAAGAACATGAGCCACAATTTCCTTATTGAATAACAGTGCACAGCTTTTGAACTGGCTAGAGGCTCATAGGCTAGTTTAAAGAAAAGCTTGCCATTTATGTCAAGAGGTCCCTAACCCCCAGTCAGTGGGCAGTTAGGAACCAGGCCGCACAGCAGGAGGTGAGCTGCAGGCAGGGAGCAAAGCTTTATCTCTATCTGCAGCAGCTCCCCAGACCTAGCATCACAGCTTCAGCCCCACCTCAGACCCATCAGGCATTAGATTCTCAAAGGAGCACCAGTCCCTGGTGCCAAAAAGGTTGGGGACCACTGATTTATATCACTAAATGTTGTATTTTCAAGTTTCTAAGGTGGCTGATATTATCATAAGAAAAAAAGTTTAGTTTTACTCTTTGTTTCCCGCTGCAAACAATGCATCCTTAGATGACTACTAATACTTTCTGACTAAGGATCTTTGCAAAGTGTCATCAAAAGTTATCCTTCTCAAATAAATGGGGGAATTTACTGAAATTGAAAGATGTGGATCTGTTTATGTTGCTACTAATCAATGTATAAAGCACATTGTTTTCATCAAAGTTAATTTGGTGCATAAACTATTTTTATACATAATTAATGAGGTTGTAAAGAATTAATCTTAAATGGCAGATAAATTCACTTATTTTGCAATGTTTTATACTAAAGAGATGGTCAATCGAGGAACCTCATTAAAAAGCAGAATAAGAAAATTATGTTTCCTCAGAAGATAATGATAGAATATCTAGAAACTAAGTATTAAGTAAAAGATGAACTTAAGACAAAGATATCATTAGTAAAGCAATATAAGCCACTATCATCACAAGACATTCTTTAAAAAAAAAAGTCATAATAATAGGGGGGGGGAGTAAGAGGTGAAGAAGAAAAAAACATTTCAATAAGAGATATGTCTTAGTATTCCCACTGAGTTTTAGGTACACCTGGGAAACTCCAGAAACTCATGCAATGGGCTACTGTCAAGTACTGTCATATTATAATTATTGACAATTATCAATACATATCACTATATAATTATCTTTGGACTTTTGAAATAGCAAGCTTACAAGTGGGATAGTACCAGGGGAGGCAACAAATTGCACTTCTTTATATTTCTAACTGGAAGCTTTTGCTCAGAGACAATAAAAATCCTCCAAAGAACAGCCAAAATCCTTTGTTATAGGCAGATAGCATAATCTGGCTTTAAAATAAATTATATAATTGAGGAGGGAACAGCGAGGGTTGGTGTTTAGACTTATACCTTTCTCCAAGTGCAAGCTATTTTGTGCCAGGATTACTCTAATAGCTTTATAACTGGTCTCCCCTCATCCATATTCCCCATCCCCTCCAGTCCCTTCTATACTAATCTTTTGGGAAAACATCTAATCCTGTTATATCCTTTCCTCCCATCCCCACACTGCTTAAACTCTCTCAAAGCCTTCCCATTCCTCTTGAGAAAAAGACTTAAATTCTTAATGTAAAAGGCTCTGATCGGTCTGGCCCCTGCCATCACTCTCCTGTCTCATTTTGTAGGACACTCCCTCTTGTTCCCTGTGTTGCAACCATGCTACCTCCCTTCATTTCAAATAACTCACTCTGAAATACATGTTATTTCTTTTCCTGGAATTTTCTCACATCCTCCTTCACCTACGTAATTTCCAATAATCACTTGGCTCTCGTTGCAAATGCAAATTCCTCAGGAAAGCCCTGAGCCCTTGCATTGTCTCTCCAAAGACTATGCCAAATTCCCTTATGGGCTCTGATAGCGCTGTTCACCTTTCCTTTATAACATTGTTCATGGTGATAATTTTACATTTATTCGTATGATTATCTGATTAAAGCTGGTCATCCTTTCTAGATTGTAAGTAGTACAGAGACTGTCTGTTTTGTTTACACTTGTTTCAGAAGTTCCTGATATTTTATTAAGATACATATTTACACTGCCTTGAGTTTCATTTTAAATCTCTCTTTGGTTTATAAGTTTTAGATAGTAAGATATGATGTGTCTTATTTTATCTTACCTTATAATCAAGTATGTCCATGATAAATTGATAAGAATGAGCAGATGAGAGGTACAAGATGTTTTGATTTGTAAAAGAGAAGGCATAAATCATCTAAAAAAATATTCTAATCTAAAAAGTCAAAAATGACTGAGAGCTTTAGCTAAGAAAATAATCAGCATTTACTAATAAACATAAGATCTGGTTTTTCCATAGCACTATCATTGATTTAAAATCATATCTATTTATGCCAGCTATCAAATATTCTATTTGCTGTGGAGAAAACAAGTAATTTGAGAATGTTTTACATAGTCATAAGAAACCAAAAATAAAGGTACCTTGTTTAATTTCTCTAGTAGTTATTTAATAACTCCCTGAAATCACTGATTTTCTATTACAATCCTAGAACATCTTAGCAGTTTAGATATTTATCAATGATAACGATAGGCATTCAATTTGCTTTTATAGAATGTAAGTGAAAAACTTCAAGTGAATTTTTTAAACCATGTATTCCTATACTCTGATTATGAGAACCAAAGGCCTAGAAATGAGTCAACTAATCTTCCAACCTGATAATTTATTATAAATCACTACCCAAATCAACTTTTGCAAATATTATGTACTTATGACATAATTAATAAAAGATATTAGTTATGTATGTAGGGATAAATATTAACTAACTTCTTGGTGTCATTTTGGTAGTGGTAGTAATGGTGGATGGATGTGGAAGAACAGTCTAATTTCAATCTTTTTCTTTTAAATACAGTGAAAGATAGTTGAAAAATTTTCATAGTAAATTATTTAAGTATTTAATAGCCTTTGCCTAAGCCAAATTGTATTTTCAGAAGAACTGAAATAAATATTATAATGCTCTATTCAAATACTTTTAGTAAATAAAGAACTTTTGGACCTGGTTTTAAATTTAGGATGTTAGAACCATAAAAGCATAGAAATGATTTCATTAAGTTATTTTTGTCTTTTATTCTCAAGGAATAGCAGAGACTAACTATTCGACACAGAATTTTAAAATACTATTGTAGGCTAGTGGTTTAACATTTGCCCCACTTTCATCTATTCTTATATTTAAACACAGCTAAAAAAAGGAGAAATCAATAATGGAGAAAAGAATTAGAATGTGCTTTCTCAGAGATTATAATATCCTACCCTTCAGTTCCCCATAGACTCATATACACAAATATCCACATCCACAATACTACTTTG